AAATATAAATTAAACAACACATAGGTAAGGGACTAAGTCGAAATAAATTTAAAATGTGAGGTTTAAATTAATATAAAAAATGACTAAGTTAAACACATTTAAAAAGTTATGGGCCAGTTACAAAAATATAAATAACAACTAACAATGGGCCAAATGAAGATGCAAATATAAATTTAGGACTAAATTGATACATATAAAAGTGAAAGACTCAAAATTAAAATAAATTAAAAAACAAAAAGATTAAATCGAAATAAATGCAAAATCTAAAGAAATAATAAAAATATAGTAAATTTCATTCATTTAAAAATTGAAAAAAAAAATAAATATATATATAATATAAGTTATAAAATAATAGATATATAACATTAATGGTTTTGCACGATGTTCCTATTGTTGATTCTGCTGGATCAAAGATCAATAATAGTGGTGGGCATATGGCACTAATAGAGAATCGGTAATGGCACATTCTCAAAAGCTTAACCACGTGATTCCAATTCTAAATATAATATTATTATCAAAAGTTGTTAAAGGGTTGAACGTGAATGAAAACAAAAGTAATTTATATATATATATATATATATATATATAACCAATATTAAATAATTTTATTAATTTTATTAAATAATTTTTATAATATGTATGTATAAATCATGTATAGTATATATAAACTATATATATATATAAAATATAAAGATACTATAGTTTATAGAAACACTATGCTTAAACTATATAAAGTATAGTTTATAGAAACTTAAACCCTAAATCATAAACACTAATAAACTTTAAATATAAAACTAAACCATAAACCTAATAAAATGGACTAGCACTAATGCATATATATTTTAATAAAAGAGTGTGTTTATGTATTAGGTAAACTAATGTAAATGGATTATTACTATTGCAAATGGACTTATAATATGCAATGTGACATACTAATTATTAACACCAATTAATTCATGTTTATATCATTTATATTTAAATAATTTTATTAATTTTATAATATGTATGTATAAACCATGTATAGTATAGGTAAGTTATATATGTATATATATATATATATATATATATATAGATATATAATATATAAACTATAAAATAAATACTTACATAGTTATAGAAACACTATGCATAAACTATATAAAGTAAAATTATATATAGAAACCTAAACCCTAAATCATAAACCCTAAACTTTAAATCATAAACACTAAAAACTAAAACATAAAAAACACTAAATCATAAACCATAATATAAATAGACTAGCACTAATGCATATATATTTGTAAAAAGAGTGAACTTATGTATTAGGCCTATGTAAACTAATGTATTGCCAAAATTATTTATATTAATAAGGTAAAACATTAATATATTACATAATAAATACTTTCATTATTAATATTATTTTTCTTTGTATAAATAAAACTATATAATTTATATAAATTAAACTATATTAATTTTTCTTTGCATTATTAATCATGTTTTATCTAATTTACATTTAAATAGTTTTATTAATTTTATATAATAATTTTTATAATAGGTATATTTATTAATTTAATTATCATAATAAGTTTTATTATAACATTTAAAAAGTAATCATATTAATTTTTTAATTACATAAACTAAAAAACTCATAATTTATTAAAATCTTATAATTTCGTCCATGATAATATATAAGTCAGATAAATATCAGATCAGGTCATTAACAAGTCGGATCATTTACAGATCAGGTTAAAAACAGGTCAGGTTAAAAACAGGTCAGGTTGAAAACAGGTCGGGTAATACCAATTATTTACCAGGTCAATCTCGGGTTCGGGTTCATATCAGTCGGATGCAGTTGGGGTTCGGATATCATATTTTCGATTCAATTCGGGTTCAAGTCGTTCTCAGGTCGGATTCGGATCCACAATTTCCAGGTCCAAATCGGGTTCAGATCAACACCAGTTCTGACTCGAATCGGTTTCGGATCGCCACAGTGCAGGTCGAAAACAGTTTTGACTCGAGTAGGTTTCAGTCAGTTTTACAGGTCGGATCATCTTTTTACAGCCATTTTAGCATTTCCGCAAGCAGAAAGCTGACCATAGATCATCAGGATTGAAATAACATTTCCAAGCCTATTGATTAAATAAGCACAAATTCCCCAGTTTTAAAAGAATTTGGCCCGTTATAGAATTCATTCTGTTACCTGGACCATGTTAGGAATGACGGGTGACATATGCAACTTCAACCGTCTATGTCTTTAAAAAGGCTACATGTCATGCCATCAATATGGTTCACTAACATCTTGCGGAAGATTACTACTGGTCAGAAAATTTTGAATTCTCAAGCAGGTTCAAATCTCCAATCTTGGAAAATAACCAAGCTAAAGTTGTATTGATTTGCAAATAAAGTATGCAGGAACCCAAAACAAATTCCAAGGCTCAGCTTTTGAAATCCAAATTCAACTATCAAACATAAGCAAACAGTTCAAAGTAAAACCTTAAAGAGAGGGGGGAAAGAGGCAGTATGACATGACACCACCCCAATACTACCTAACGTGAAAAAAGTATAACATACCTTTTCCAAATACTGGCGTTAAATTGACCCATGGATTTCGCCCACTTCCATAATTATGAAGATTTAAAGCAATAATTGCTCTCACACTAAAACAACACAACATAATGTTAAGAGAATGATGAAATCGCATGCCATAGCAAGGGCAGAAATCTTCTAACCATCTATCTTAGAGCAGTTGTGTCAGCATGTACAAATCAAATTGATACTTGGTTAAATCATAACAACTTTTAAATAGTCATCACTCGTTTTCGTAGAGTTTGACACAAATTTATTTTTTAGTTGGATCACTTTAATTATTGTATATTTATGCCGTCAAGTGACTGATCAAATACATAATAAATTAAATACATAGAAATGCACCTTTTAGGGACTGGAACCATCTCCCAAAATCCCCTGCAGTTAGAAACAATTTTTAAATATGTTCACTTCGTAAAGAATGGTCGTTCACCACCAAATACCATTCAAAGATGGCAAGACACTTTCTCCATGGGATTCGGGGATCACTTCTTCCCAGCTAATGGACCGAAAGGAAATAAATGGTGTAACTGACATACACGTATGTACAGGGATGGGGCTATTAAGATTTCGGATAAGTCTGTGCTCCTCAATTTTTATCTAATGACAATTTTAATCGAATATTTTATAATAATTTTTTTTAAATTTTGAGTTAACACTTATTAAGTTTTCATTAACTTTAAATAGATTATTTGACTCTTATTGTCTGATCCTAACTTCATCTATGCTTATAACCATATTATAAACATCAACAGATTTATCAATTTTAGAATATTAAGTCAAAAATATGAGGTAAAAGGCTGAAGAGACTGTCAAGGTACTATGACTTCTGTACTTCTCAAGGCACAAGAGTGAAAAACAAGGAAACATTTGCCTGAGCGAAGCAAGGTGCTGATATAATACAAATATAAAGGGAAAATAGCACCCTTTACATTTTTGTATAAGACACCCTCAAGGTACTAGAACATGTGTAGTCTCGAGGCACACTAAGCCTTGCCTATGCACCAAGGCCTCTGCCCTGGCTACACTGTCTTGGGAATAATCAAAACTTAACTAAGATGCTTGTTATAAATGCACACGCACACCCACACCCACACCCCAACATGAAGAGCAATATACATATTGTTATTACACAAAAAATAGATATGTCCATATAGGATGAGATGATAGGTAAAATCTATAATATCTAACCTTAAACTTGGATCACTTGTGCATGGTGTAAGAAACCAACCCTGAGTGCAACTGTAACCGGAGTAGACGATCTACCAAAAGGATGAACCAATTACAATTTAATATTAGTTTTAGCAACAACAAAAAAAGAAATCAGTGACTGAGGTAGATAAACTAATAATTTGAATTTCGAATGCCAATCCCCAAACTACAATCTAACTTAAATTTAGTGAGATAATAATTAAATTTTGCACCTAACAGAAATCATGGGAGATAAATTATAGTGAGATAATTACATTTTGCATCTAACAGAAATCATTGAGAACATACACAATTTCATTTCTGTTTGTTTGCCAAAGTACACAATTTCCTTATGGTCCCAAATTTGTTACTGAATTACCACAAATTAAGAAGTAGAGACATTCAATCAGACAAGCTTTGTTTTGCGCCAACAATGTGCCTAATCAAATGAATGCTCCTAGTGCTATGGCACGGCACCTTAATATCAAGAAAATGCTCCTAAATTAAATTTACGTCTAGCTTTTCATGCATCCCTCGTTCCTTTTCAAAGAATTATAGAGCAGAAAATCTTTAAATATGGATATTGAGACTGAAGTGCTAAATATTTAACCACAAAAAGAATATATTGGGGAAGAATAAGACATTGCCAAGGGTTTTATAAATTATAGATTCATTTCACTTGTAGCGTTTCATCATCCTTGTCAAAGGAGTATGCATCAATAAATCTTTAAAATATACATCACCATTGAAGTGCAAGTATTATCATTTAGAAAGAACATATTGACAGGCCCGTCTTAGAAAACATGTGGGCCATGTGTACTTTATTATAATGAGGTCCCTAAAATAAATTATAATAAGGTCGAATCGTAAACTATCAAATTTAAGAATATTGAAACTATGATTGATAAATAAGATTTTTTCGTTAAACATCATAAATTTGATAATTTTTTAGAAATAATTGATCACAATTGAATTGTTGAGATAATAAGGGAGAAAATTAGAAGTTTTTTTGTTAAATCTTAGCAAGAAAAAATAATTTTTTCTAAGTTAATACATATTTTTCAAAGTATGGGCCTCCTAGATTTTGGATCATGTGACGTATCACATTCTACACTTGTCAATGGGCAGACTTGTATATTGGGGACAATCAATTCAAATCCTCCAACTATGCCATCCTTAGTCATACTATGATCTGGATACCTAATCTTCTGCAGATGGCAGTCAAATACGTTAAAGAAATCCAAAATACCTTGTTTGCAATAGGACCGTGCGCAAGATAAGGTTTCTCATTACTAAATGATGGAATCCATAAGCAACTTGTGCATCCATTCCTGAATGTAAAATGGGGGATAAAAAAGAAGCAAACCGAGTCGTAATAAAAGTTAGTTCATCCATTAAACTTCTTGGAAGAAAGTACAGGTCCCTACTAAGGGAAAATTTCCATACCTGAAATGAAAATAATCAAGAGCTAGAAGTTAAACAATCACACTACACCTATGCTAAAATAATTATAGAATACTCCATAGCCGTTCACTTTGTCGGTAACATCCTCTCAATCTCCAAAGTCTGCAGCCACAAACAGATTTTTTTAACTTAACAATAACGGATTTTTTTAATATTGTTACGGATAAGGCACCTAAATGATAATATTAGAAACGTTAGACACCTAAATTGATTTAAAAAGTATAAGCACATAAATGAGAAAAGATAATTTGGTCACTTACTTTTATGTTAAGCCATTTTTTAAATAAATATCATTACGGGGATTGGATATTTCAAAAACTTTCAAATCTTAAAAGTAGGAATTAATAATTACTTTTAAAGTATAATTAAATTCATAAACATATGAAATCATAAAATTTATACTTGGTTTAAATCAGCAAGTCATTTTTCATAGAATGATAAACGAATGAATGAAGAATAATGTTTATTTTTTTAAATTATTTTCTTATAGAAAAATGGTAACTGTTTTTTGTTTTAAAGTTTATTTCGCCAACCTTCTAAATTTCACCTTTAAAGAATCGTGGCTGTTTCATTTTTTATTTATTTTTTACATGAAACGTTTGGGACATATGGTTGGACATAGCATGATTAATTATGGGATGATGATAAGTTTTCATGTGTTTAGGTATTACTTAAGGTTAGTTTAAGGTTCACTTATGCTATGCATGACCCGAATTGTGTTTTTGCGTTAGACATTTCCTACTCTACTTTTTACTAATTTAAGTACTATATAAAAGAATTGTTATAGCATAATTTAGTGGTATCAATGATTAAAGTGAGTTATTTTTAAAAAAACACGGAATCAAGTAGTTATTGCGGGTGTGCATGCATTGTCAATGACTAAGAAAAACTCTAAACATATATATACTAACTTATAATCACCCTAGATTATTCAAAAAAATAATTATTATTAAGTTTGATGAAGTTTCCTTGAACTGCTAGTACCAAATTTTCCTTTTAGACTTTGAAAATGCAATATACTGATGTAGACACACTTTTTGTGACTGAAATGAACATATATTTATATATATATGTTATATATATATGGTATAAATATTATTATAAACATGTTTTACATCTTGTATCAGGCCCAACCACGCCTAATGGTCCAGACCCACAATAGGTTAGGGTTTTCAGAAACCCTAGCTCACTCCACTCTTGTCCCAGCCGCCAACCATGGGAATCGTTGGATCAAGGTGTGATCCAACGGTCCACAACACGCAAAGGTTTCCAGAAACCCTAGCTTTCCATTCGGTTCTCATCTGCGCCGCGTCACCAAGACTCCAGGGGTATCACGCCGCTACCAGCTCTCCTTTCACACATTCAACGCCGAGTTTCAAGGCACTCCATCCCTCATACAACAACCGCAACAACGTGGATGTTTGGGACACCGAAAAAATAGCAAATAAGGCATTAATTTAGTTCGAGTAGGACTCAGAAATCAAGCTAAAAATAGTTTATTTTTTAGTATAAATACATGTAATCAGTTTATTTGTACACTTGGAGTTCATACAAAATAAAAGAAGAAACTTTCGAGCAAAATCATGAGCACTATCAAGGCAAAGCATAAACGTTTTTGAGATTTTGAAAGCAACAGAAGGTAAAGTTTGTACCTTTTTTTTGTTTTGAGGCTTGCATGCGTTCGTTTCGTTGTTCTTGACTCAGAAAACCACCAGAAACAAACGTTTTGGCCGATGAACGAAGTGAGGCCTTTTATTTTTTCGAAACCTATTTCCTAGATCCGCATTTTTCGAGCCAATTTTTTGAGAAACCACTTGGATTTCTGGACTGAGGGAAGAGAGTGGTCTTTAAAAAAGACGGGTTTTGTGGTGGACCACCGTCGATGAGAGGTGGCGAGGCGGTGGCCACCATTTTCAGGCGACGACGCACGACTCTTGTTCTTGAATCTTAAGAACACTTGAGAGAATTTTTAAGCCAAGGGGGGAGTGTTTTCGTGGGAGGAGGAAGGAAATGAGAAATTAGAAAAGATATTTGGTTTTATAGTAGACCCATCAGAAGCCTAACCCGACCCGTGATCTCGTCTGACCCGCGTGTTTTTAACAAGAAGAGGGGGTTCGTATTTTGGTCCCCCAGTTTTCAAAGTGTTTAATTTAGCCCCCAATTAATTTTAAAACCCAATTCAATTCTAATTTGGCCCCAATTTTATTTCTTTCATAACGGTCCTTATGTATTATTTCTATTTATTTATTCTTTTGATTTCTTATTAAATATATATATATATATATATATATATATATATATATATTATTTTTATTCTAATATTATTTTAATTTTAATTTTTTTTAAATATATATATATATATTATATATATATTTTAAACTATTATATTATTATTATTTTACTATTAACGTATATAAATATATTTTCTCTTTTGTCACTATTATATTTATGTATATTCTTTATTGATTTTTTTTTTACCTTTTTTTAAACATATGTATATATATTTTTTCTCTCTCCATCTTATTTATTAATGTGGATCTTTAAAGTTTATTAAATGTACTTATATATATTTTTTTCTCGTATATATATAATGTATTCATTATCTTTCTTTTAATGTACCATAACTTATTATCATACATATTGTTTCATTTTATTTTTTTTTTTTGTTTTGTTTTTTTGTTTTTTTTTAGTATTAGCTTTTGTTTATGTTTCATATTTTCTATTCTTTTTTTTACTTTGTTACGTTTTTACTCATGTTACTTTATTTAGTTTTGCTTTATTTTATGTCTTATCATTATTTCTCGTTTCTGTTTGTTCTCATATTTACACGTTTTTAACTTAATTTAATTTTGTACTACACTATGAATCTAACATCACTATCTTTTTAAAGGCACATTTTCAAATCAATCTAAGGTAAGTCGTTGGGATCGTTATTTTACCTTTAAATTTAAAGTTATGTTTTTCTTAACTAAAGACACTGGAAATTATATAGTACCGAAAGGGCAGTTCAAGGATGCTAACCCTTCCTTGACTGTAACCGACTCCTGAATCTGACATATCACTGGTAAGACGCAGATCAGGTAAGATGGTGTCCGATCTACCTAAATAACGTTTTAAAACGATCGGTGGCGACTCCAATTCATTTAATCCAAGTCGAAACCCAATTTTTGGGTGCAACCGAAAGACGGTTCCGACAGATTGGCGACTCCGCTGGGGATACAGGTAAGTGAGTCAGGCTAAGGTAATTTCCAGTTGTCTTTTTAACGAAAAGGGTAAGTTTAAATTTTAAGGTAACATTTTGATCCTTTTACTTAATTTTGATTATATTTTCGAGTAAATAGTTGTACTAATCATTTTCTAATGATTTCAGCCTTCAAAGTTTTTTTCACTTAAGGCTCTAAACCTGAGCTCCAAACCCTGTTTTAAGTGGGGGTGAAAGCGACGCATTTGTGTGAATTTATTCACCGCATATGCCTAGCAAGTAGCCTTCGGGATTCATATATCTTATGTCTTCGTGTGAATTTATTATTCGCATAGACATAAGGGAATGTGTCCTCTCGAGTTTAACTTAGTCCACACAAGCCTGTGATGGGTTTAAGACTAAGGGTGGCACCGGCGAGGAGATCTCGAGTACCGTTTTTTTAGAAGCTGAACCGGGAGATTGTGGAGAATTAGAGCCTACCCTGAAACCACATTCCAAAACTAGATATTTTTACCTAACCATGTTTTTTTTCTTTCCCTTTGTCATTTTATATTTATTTATTTATTTATTTTTATTGTACTAACTTTTTGCCTGTGTTTGTATTTTAGCATTTGCATCATAACACGAGACCATTGATCCTTAAAAAGCGTTTATTAGACATAAAATAATCTGAACAAATGGATAAAGGTGTTTTAATACAAGAGATTAAAAACTCTGAGGTACGACTATGGTCCGAGAAGAGAAGGAAAAAGGGAGACAGTCTTCAAAGAAGCTATATGTCAGAGCTGGTCAGCTATGCCTCTATCAGCCTAAAACAGAATGACGTGCAGGAGCTTCGAGACATCTGGGATAGTTGGAAGAATGATCAGAAATAGAAATTCAGCCAACGGTATGGTGACATTGCACTTTTGCTTCATATCAAGACCGATGAGCCCTTAATCAGAGCCTTGGTTCAATTCTGGAACCGGGATACAGTTGCTTACTTTAATCAGGAGGACATGGTGCCCCACCATTGAAGAATACATTACATGTTACACTGTGAAAGTATCAGACTAGAGAGGGCCTACCTTAAACACATTAAAAGTCAGCCTTTCAAGAATGCACTAGCCAAAGTTGTCGGGGTTGACGAAAAATGGGTAACTGACCGGGCTCAATGTAAAGCCAATGAGGAAGGAATTGCTTGGCTTCATATCAAGCAACTGATGAAGAACCATCCCGATGAGTAGAAGGCAATAGACCTATTTGCACTGGGTCTGATTATATTCCCGAAGACTTTGGGTTACATTGATGCTGTAGTATAGAGCTGTCGAACAACTTCCAAGACGAGAACCCAGCACTGACCATCTTAGCCGATACCTTTCGGTCTCTTAATCATTGTCGAAGATCTGGTGGAGGAAGGTTTAGGTGATTCAGCTCCTTCAAGTCTGGATTCACAGCCAACTTCTGGAACTAACGGGGTCGTCTACCGCCGATTAGCACCACTATTCACCTTTGGGAGAGTTCATCACAATGAAATGGATGAAGGTTCTTCAAAGGAAAAGGGATGAAAGGTTTTACACATCTTCAGGATCGGGATATTACCTGGAGAGCCCCTGGTTATCTCGGTGACATTCTTTTCCGTTGTAGGGATTCTGATACTATAACTTACTTGGACTTTGGGGTGCAGTTGGGAATGCTCGTTGTTGGCACTGAGAGACAGTATGGGGCACGTCAGTTGTCCCCGCAACATAAGGACTAATTAAATCGAGTTGTGGTATAGCGGGACAGTTATAAGAAGATGATCAAGAAACAGCCGATTCATGAAAGCAAGTATTTCGGATGGATGTTGTAGCTGCCAGAGACATGCTTACTCGGAATATGTGGAGTGGCGAATATTGAGAAAGAATGATAACATCCGGTGCAGACTGCGAAGACACCCGAACTATGGAGGAACATCTCAGGTCTGTCCCTTTGGACTTGAGATAGTCAGGGCCAGAGTTTGAAGCTGTGAATAACGAGCTTAAGAAGAGGATTAAGGAACTTGAAGCTGAATTATCAATGGAAGCTAGATGCCGACTCTCAGAAAGGTAAGTAGACAAACTAGAAAAGGAACAGAAAAAGAGTCCGTTTGAGCTTGAAGACTTAAGAAAATGCTATCAAGATAAGGGTCAAGGATAACTCCAAGTTAAAAGTAACCTCTGAATACTGGAAAGACAAAGTTCATAGTCTGAAAGGAAATTCGAGGGGCCCGATGAAAGTGCTTGGAAGGAACAACTGAAGACTGCTCAAAGGTGCTTGGCAGACAGTCAACATCAGAACCAACGCTTGAGAATCCGGGTGGCGACTTAGAGAAACATGAAAAGGATGACAAGACAATAGTGAGTTAGAAGCTGTTGAGATGGGTTCAAAAGGCAAGCGAACGAGCTTCAGATAGTGTCATTTGATGGAGGTTTACAGTGGCGTTTCCGTGGGAGCAACACAACGAAGGGTAAGGGCCAGAGATGAACCATCCGAGATTTCCTGGAACAAGTACAGAAGCTCGTCATTCCGGCCTGCAATGGAAGCAGGAGTGGTTCGACAAGGCATTCAACCAGTGATAGATGAAGGCAGAAGACTTGTCAACCTACTAGAAGCTGTTAGGGGTATAGAGGATTTAGTCCGAATGTCCTTAATTGTTTATGTCTCTTAAAAGATAAAACATTTTTGTCTGAATAAGGATTATTTATAATAATGTACATTTTTTTGGATCAATGCCTCAAATTGCATACATCATGCATTGCATTTATTGCATTTTATATTTTCATGTTTGTTTTTATTTTATATTTCCATGTTTTACATTCGTATTAACTAACAGAACATGTCTCAGACACCAAGCGTACCACCGCAAGCATTAGATACGCACACCCATCCGCCGCCAAAGGGAAAGCTGCATCAGTGGCAAATTTACAGACTTCTGCGGTGAAACATGACAGTCATCCGAACAACTGCCCTATCCCGGATTTTGACGAGGAGGATAAGGCAAGGAATATGGAAGAAAAGATCAGGATGTTAGAAGACCAAATGAATATGGTCCAAGGAGACCATGATTATTATGATGTGGATGCAATGGAACCAAGTCTGGTTCCCGATTTGGTTCTTCCACCAAAATTTAAGGTTCCTGAGTTTGAGAAGTTCGTCTGGAACAGCTGCCCTTCAGCCCATATCACTATGTTCTGTCAGAAGAAGACAGGGTACGGGGGAAATGACCAACTCTTAATCCATTGCTTTCAGGAGAGCTTGTCCGGTTCAGCTATCCGGTGGTACAACCAGCTCAACCGAACTCATATCAAGATATGGAAAGACTTAGCCAAGTCTTTCTCAGAGCATTACAAACATATCAAAGATATGAGACCAGACCGAGTTATGCTGCAAAGCTTGGAAAAGAAGCATAACGAAAGTTTCTGATAGTACGCACAGAGATGGAGGGATTTATCTGTGCAAGTTCATCCACCATTGGATGAAAAAGAAACTAGAAAGTTATTTTTTACAAACCCTGAAGGCACCTTACTTTGGGCATTTGGTAGCAATCACGTCGGGAAGTTTCTCAGATTTAGTCATGGCCGGTGAGATGGTTGAACTGGCCATAAAACAAGGAAAGATTGAAGGAGGTGACTTTAGTAGAAAGCTTCCCGTGAAGAACAAAGACCGCGAGATTAACAATGTCAATACCTACAACGCTAGCAAAGATGTTACGATCTTAAAAACAACTGTAGCTGTACCATCTGGTACTTCTAACCAATCTCAGAGAGAACCAATGAGGGAAAGGGAAAGGGAGCAGTTCAATCCCATTCCCATGACATATAAAGAGTTATATCAACAACTCTTCGACACTCACGCAATATCACCCTACCCAATGGATCCGATAAAGCCCCCATATCCGAAATGGTTTAACGAGAACACCCACTGTGAATATCATGGAGGTGTGCCCAGAATCCCTTGCCTAATCATCAGGAGACAGGAATTAACGCAATCACCACCGAGAATGGCAAGAAAAACAAAACTCGTGTTTCGGAAGTTATTAAAGCTCCTTTGGCTTGGGTATGGAGCCAAATGATAAAGGTGGGGCTTCTTACACCCCATTCACGGGCAACAAGGATAGGAAATGGTGACTATTGTTGTTACCACAATGAAGAGGGGCATAATGTGCAAGAATGCCCAGAGTTCATATCGTTAGTCCAGCTCATGATGGACCGGAAAGAGCTGGAATTTTACGAGGAAATTCAAGATTCTTTGGAAGAAGATGTTTGCACTACCGAAGAATCATCCGACAAGAGGTATGGCAGGGGTGGTCCTCTGATAATTACCCCTAAAGTGAAGATGACAACAACAACACAAGTCAGGGTGATTATCACAGCACCTCGGCCTTTTCAATACAAGGATAATCGACAAGTGCCATGGAAGTACGAATGCCAAGTGAGTACTCCTAAAGGATGTGATGGCAAAGTGGGACAAAGACCACTTGAGCCATTCAAAGAAGATGTGTTAGCTGTCAACGAACCCATAAAGGAGGAAGAAGCTAAAGATTTCCTCAAGATCTTGAAGCACAGCGAGTACAACATTGTAGAACAACTCCACAACTTACCTACGCGTACTTCAATGCTAGCACTATTTTTAAACTCAGAGGCACACTGAGAAGCATTATTGAAAGTCCTTAATCAAACATTCGTGCCACATGACATACCAGTCAGTAAAATGGATCGACTGGTAAACAATATTCAAGATGATAATCTTATCTCGTTTTCAGATTATGAGATTCCATCCGGAGGAAGAGGCCGAACAAAGGCATTACACATTACCACCTACTGTAAGGGGCACACTTTACCAAGTGTCTTAATCGACAACGGATCAGCCTTGAACGTGATGCCTTTGGTTACATTGAAGATGCTACCAATAGATACCTCTCATATGAGAGCCTGTCAGAACGTGGTCCGAGCATTTGACGGGACCAAACGAGAGGTTATGGGTAAGATCGAGGTATCGTTGACCATTGGACCAGCCACCTATGATGTTGAATTCCTTGTGATTGATATTATGTCGTCCTATAGTTGTCTTTTGGGAAGGCCATGGATTCATTAAGCAGGTGCAGTACCCTCCACGCTGCACCAAAAAGTTAAATTTGTTATCGACGGGGCCTTGGTAATTATCAACGCTGAAGAAGATATCGTGGCAAGTGTGACCACGGAGCCCCCATACATCGAAAATAGATGAGGAAGCGGTGGAGTGCTCATTCCGCTTCTTGGAATTTGTGAATGTCATATTCGTGACAGAGGGAAAGAAGATTCCTAAACCCCGACTCTCCAAATACACAAAGATGGAGATCAAGCAAACCTTAGGCCGAGGTGCTAAAATCGAAAGAGGGTTTGGGAAACAGCTACAAGGAAGGATTAATCCAGTCCTTCCCATTTCAAAGCTAGATCGGTTTGGGCTCGGTTTTCAGCCCAGTTATCAGGAAAAGAGGAAAGAGATCCAAAATAGTCGGGAGAGGAGATTAGCAAAGTTGACTGGAAGTGAATTACAATGGAAGCCTATGACATTCCCGCCTCTTTACAAAACATTCAAATCAGGTGGTTATTTGTTTGAAACCACCATATCCGAGTTAGAAGCGACTCTGAAAGATCTGGATATCAATGTCGTGACCACAAAAGATGTTGACAACGGAGATAGATCCGGTATATGCCCTCTGCTACCTAGGTTCGTGCCTAGCAGATGGTCGGTGGAAGAACTACCTGTGGTTTACAAGAGTATTTCAGAGTAATATTCGAACTACCCCTATTTGCCTATACCCGGGGCAATAGGTGATCTTTTTTAAGGGTGAATAAACATTTGTTTTAATTTCAATAAAGGATGCATTTTTTTCTATATCCATGGCAAACAAATTTTCTTTTATTTCTTTTTGAATTCATTGTCTATTTTCTTCATTTCAGCACTTCATTTCCATTTCTCTTTCAAATTTAATTCTTTGACAGTTTCGTGTGGGATATTTCCTCTCACACACCCATACCCTTCTTTGTTCCTTCAGGACCCCAGATAATGATAATGTAGGCACTGATGATCTTGATCCGAAAGTGGATTTTGAATCAGCCATTTGTCTCGGGGAATTTGATGAATGCGACACTGAAAAGGAGTGTAACTTGCCTACCAAATTGTTGAGGATGATAGAAAGAGATGAGAAGCAAATTCTACCACATGAGGAAGCGATAGAAATCTTGAATTTGGGCACTGAAGATGACAGAAAAAAGGTTAAAATCGGCACAACTTTCTCGACTGAAGCAAGACAGAACCTAATAGTCTTACTTCATGAGTATAGAGATGTGTTCGCCTGGTCATATCAGGACATGTCGGGACTAGGCACAGATATGGTAGTTCATAAACTGCCAATTAAGCCAGAATGCAAACCTGTGCAACAGAAACTAAGAATGATGCAACCAGAAATGCTCCTTAAGATAAAAAAGAAGTCAAGAAGTAATTTGGTGCCGTTTTTCTTCAAGTGGCCAAGTATCCGGAGTGGGTGGCCAACATAGTGCGAGTTCTGAAAAATGACGGGAAGGTTCGCATGTACGTCGATTACCGTGATCTTAACAAGGTGAGCCCTAAAGATAACTTTCCTCTACCTCACATTGACACGTTGGTAGACAATACAGCCGGAACGCTTTCTTTTCATTCATGGATGGATTTTCAGGATATAACCAGATCAAGATGCATCCTGAAGACATGGAGAAGACCACGTTCATCACAATGTGGGGAACCTTCTGCTACAAGGTGATGTCATTCGGACTAAAGAATGATGGGGCAACATATCAAAGAGTTATGGTGACCCTGTTCCACAATATGATGCACAAAGAGATAGAAGTTTATGTCGACGACATGATTGTCAAGGCATAAACCGAGAATGAACATGTCGATAATCTAAGGAAGCTCTTCCAGAGATTGAGGAAGTTCCAACTAAGATTGAACCCTAGCAAGTGGACTTTCGGGGTAACATCCGGGAAACTATTAGGCTTTATAGTCAGCAGGAAAGACATCGAGGTTGATCCTGATAAAGTTAAAGCTATCCAAAATCTGCCTCCCCCACGAACAAAGAAGGAGGTTCGAGGTTTTCTGGGCAGATTGAACTATATAGCACGGTTCATATCCCAGTTAACTGACAAGTGTGACCCAATCTTCTGTCTTCTCCTAAAGAACAATCCAAGAGTATGGGATGAAAATGTCAGATTGCATTCGAGATAGTAAAGAAGTATTTATCTCACTCTCATGTCCTGATGTCCCTTATTCCGAGTAAACCTCTATTCTTGTATCTCTCCATATTCGAGAACTCCATGGGGTGTGTCCTAGGACAGTATGATGAATCCGGGAAGAAGGAAAGAGTCATCTACTATTTAAGCAATAAGTTCACCGATTGCGAGGTCAGATATCCTCCTATCGAGAAGGTCTGTTGTGCTTTAGTCTGGGCTACAAAAAGACTCCGACAATAAATGTTGTACCACACTACTTGGCTAATTTCCAAGTTAGATCCCCTGAAATACATGATGAGTGTACCTGCTTTATCTGGAAGGTTAGCCCGATGGCAGATGCTCTTGTCGGAATTTGACATTGAGTACGTGAGCCAGAAAGCAATCAAAGGAAGTGTCATATCGGAGTTCTTGGACAGCAGAACCGATGAGAATTATGAGCCTTTGGACTTTGACTTCCCAGACGAAGACTTGATGGCTATCTCCTTAGAAGAAGCAGGGACTTCAACGGACAGTTCCTGGAGAATGCATTTCGATGGTACGTCAAATGCATTATAACATGGCATCGGGGCTATCCTAATTTCTCCAGAAAGGAGTCACTACCCATTTACTAGTAGGCTCAACTTTGATTGCCCCAATAACATGGCAGAGTATGAAGCATATGTCTTGGGAATCTGAGTTGTACTGGGGCAAAGCATAAAGACGTTACGAATATATGGAGATTCAGCATTAGTAATCTATCAGCTCCGCGGAGAGTGGGAAACCAAGGATGTAAAGCTGTTAGAGTACCAAAAACTAGTACTGAATCTGCTCGAAGAGTTCGACGAAGTCACCTTGTTAGGATTTTTGGAAACTCGAATCGACAATCGGAACGGTTTGCAAAGAGGGGTCGGAACGGTTTTGTGTTTAGGGAGTAAGGATATTGAAAGATAGAAAATTGCACAGCGATTTATAATGGTTCGACTTTCTCAATCAAAGTCTACGTCCACTACCTTAGCTCTTCACCAAGGATTTTCCAACAAATTCACTAATTTGTTTTCTTTTGAGGATAAAGAGTAACCTTACAAACTCCCTAGTTTTTCCGGGCTAAACTAGAACCTTTCCCTAGCTTTTACACGGGATTAGCTAGAACATTTTCCCTTTATAAAAGGATAAGAAATGTAAACAAGAAAACCTCTCTAAGGTAGGTGTTTACAAGATTGAGCTCACAAGAACAAAATATATACAAGAGAAAGATGAAATAAGAATGTAAAACTCTTCTTTTGTGTTTGATTGCTT